TTAGTACTTGTTTTGGGTTTTTGCTTCCTCAGTTTAACAGTAAACAAAACCAAAGAACTCTTCTACAGTGATTCTCTTGCCCTTGACTGTTTTTATGAAAAGATGCTGAAATACTTCACGTTTGAAGTTAACATAGATCTTAGCTGCCTGCTTTCCTGTACTAATCACCCTAATCGCCACAGGGATGGAAAGACTCTATTCTCATATCTTGTGTAAAAGTAGCATATTGTATTAAAATGGGCTAAATCGCAAAATGTAAGCTTTTATCACTTTTACATTGTTTCATGGAATGGGAGCCTGTTAATATGCAGCCCCGTGGCTGAAACCCTAAAAAAATAAGTTGGTACCTACCTCTTTGACAAAGCATCATAGTAGTCAACAAAATAGTACATAGAACCAAACGGCAAAAACCCGTATTGCCTTGTGGAAGCAGAACTTCTTTTCTAAACACACAAGTCAGGATGAAAGCTGCAATTCTCTAGTCTATTCAGAAGTTGCACCTATTACTCTTCCACCAGTGTACACAACTTCCAGTTTAAACACTTTTATAAACTTCCTCAACTCAAAAAGTAAAGATTTGGTGTGTTTTGGGGAATATATAAAATAATATGTATTCCTATGCAGTGCCCTGAAACAATAACCTTCTGTCTTAAATTTCTCCTGAAAATTCAAAGCACTTCTTCGTATGTGATGGTGCCCAGGCACTCCTTTGCTTGGCCAGTGTGAGATTTAAGGCACTGCTTTTGCTGACTGTTAGTCTCGGGAAGTTTATAGTGAGATTTGGTGATATTAATACTGTGCTGCTCACTGTTCTCCTTGCTGGAGGCTTTAACATGAGGAAGCAAAGTCCTGCCTCTAGCAAGATGACCACCTCAGTATAGAGAGACAATGCAAAACAAGGATTGGTAAGTGCGGTAAAGGGAAATCGCAGCAGCAGGTAGGCCACAGTGCCACTGGTGACTAGTCCTTTGCCTTCTACCTGCCTTTTTTGGGCACATTTTCCAGTGTTCAGGTTTTTTAAAGAAGATCAATGCACATGGAAACTGTAGAAGACTTGGGTTATGCAGCTACTGATGATGCTAGTCTTGCTGTGTTTCGCAATATATAATAAATATCTGTCCTACAGCAATAATGTAAGAAAAAATGTATCTAAAATGAAAACTTTTAATTGTTTTCGATACACCAGGCAAGGGTTAGCAACTCTGTCAGGTTATTATTAGTGTCTATGTCCCTGTTTGGGAGTTATACTTCTTTTGTTTTTGTCCTGATGAACATTGTCACTGGGGCCGAAAGTAAGAGATACAATATTTGAGTTGTAACCAGCACAGGAATAAAGGGGAAAACTGTATAAGAAAAATTCCTTCACTTTAGAGTGATTTTCTCTCACTTCCTGTTACTTGTAAGGAAAGAAAGGTACATCTCCCTAATACATGGCAAACATGACATGTTTTAACCCTTCCCTACTTTCCAAAGAATAATAATAAAAAATAATAAAAAAACCCACCAAAAAACGTATTTTCTGAGTTTAGTGTTTAACTGTGTTGTCAACGTTGTCAAATTAGTATTTGAATTGTATGCATATGACTTGTGACCTACAATTCCTATCTATTTTGCTTTGTCTTTATTTAGAGTACCTTCAAGTTTAAGTCTGAGAGTGATATTCATCTGGCTGAACACCACAAGCAGGTCCTGTATGATGGGAAACTTGCAAGCAGTATAGCGTTCACATACAACGCAAAGGCCACAGATGCCCAGCTCTGCCTTGAATCGTCACCAAAGGAAAATCCTTCTATATTTGTGCATTCACCCCATGCTCTAATGTTACAGGTATGTTGTTAATGTTTTGTGTATATTTAAAAAAATGTACCACTGATGTTCCTGTGTGTGTTCTTCTAAGTTTCAAATGCATGTGTGGATGTGAAGTGCAGTGCTACAACTATGAAATCAGAAGAGAGAACGGTGATTTAGCAGCTATGACTTTCCAGCACTGCCTGATGTCTCCAGAATTCATCTGGGAAGGTCTGTGGAGCCTCATATACAGTACATCCTGATTTGTATGCGTTCTTGCCAGATTGTTGGTCCTCACTACAAGAAGGAGCCTGAACAATACACAAACTTGAGAATGTCTATAGCAGGGTTAGCCAAAATTCGACTCTCCAGCTGTGGTGAAACTAAGAATCCCATCATGCAACTGTCTCTGCAAATCATGCCTGTGGTTGTCAGAGTCTTGCAATGCATTATGGGACTTACAGTTCTGCAACAGCTGGAGGGCCAAAGTTTGACTACTCTTGATCTATAGTTACCTTATTGCATTGGATTTTCAACCTTACCTGCTCTAGAGTTATCCTCAGTCATCCCAGACTTTGTAGTACTTGCAGTATTGTGTTTATGAATTATGCTGCCTGTCATAGATTAGTCATCATTGTCTGAACATGCTTCAGTTACCAGAATGGTAGCACACAGAGTTAGCAGTAAACTGTTCTGCTGGTATGGTATGTTCAGAGGGTCTGGCAGCACAGCTGTATGTGTCTTATCACTGCTTCTCATGCTTCCATAGGGACCATGCCAAGGCCCTATTAATATAAAGGTAAAGAAGAAGCTTTGCATTCTTGATGCCTGCCGAATGTTCCCTAATGCAAATGAGTTTCATTGAGCCAACAGCTCAATATGCTGCATTCAGACGAATTGATCTTCTCAAAGAAAGAGCATTGGGAGCTCAGAGCAGCCCAGGAGCAATGCAGCAGACGCTGGATGTGCGTCTGCCTAAGGGGCCTTAAAATTGCTCATCCCTCCCCAAGTTATCATCCATTTACAGATTGAAATACGTACGCAATATTCTTTTGGTAGAATAATTAAATCACTGACATTGAATGCAAGCGTGTCTTGGCACCAGGTTCTCACAGTTGCAGTTTCATTTGTATCTTGTTTATAGCTGTGTTTATTGCTCGATACATCAAATAGGTCTTCTGACTCCCAGAGAGTTTGCAAGATTGCAGTAAGCAGTCAGAAAATAGATGGCCAATTGAGGAGAGTGTGATTTTTAGTAAAGTATGTGTATGGTGGTGCAGGGGAAGAGATAACAGGGTCACACAGAGTACCTTAGAGGACAGAGGAGATAAAGCCATGCTTCACATGTTTTCTGCTGCCAACAGCTGACCAGGCAGACATGCATGCTGTGATTATAAGTGAATGCAGAGGCAGACAGGAGACACATCTGTTGCTTACCGACCCATAACATCACATTCTCAAAATAGCTTAGCTTGAGACAGATTCATATTGAATCTTGCCATTGTGCATAAGGTGAAATGACATTTCAAGGATCGGTGAGATGGCTGGTATTATGACAAACGAACTGGTGACATTTTTCCTTTCTCAAGGAGATATGTAGCCTGGAAATATAGTAGTTTTGCTATACTGCCTGCGCCGGTATATGACTCCATTGTACACATTTCACAATCCTCCTAATGTAAGAAAACCTCTATTCATGGCAAAACAAGGGGAGACAAGTCAACCTTTGTATTGAACAGGATTTATATAGTGCCAACAATTTGGGAGTGCAGTGGCTTCCAAAATAAAAGGGAGACAGTTTAAGTACAGTAAAATTAGGGAAAAGCTTCAAATCTAATATAATATATACGTGGGTAGGTGTGTTGGGATTTATGCATTACTATCAGTGTGTCCACCACCCCTCTCTGCCAATCCCTCCACTGGCTTCCAATAGCACAATGCTTAAAATCTGAAATACTAACATACAAAGCCACCCAGAACTCTGCCCCTGCCTACATCTCCAACCTTATCTCAGAGTATCACTCAAACCATCTTCTTCACTCCTCCCAAGACGACCTGTTTTCTAGCTATCTCATCACCTCCTTCCATGCTCGCCTCCAGGACTTCTCCAGAGTCTCTCCCATGTTCTGTAACTCCCTATCCCAACTTATCCAACTCTGTCTGACTTTAGGCGATCCCTGAAAACTCACATCTTGAGGGAAGCCTATCCCACCTAATTTTTGAACTGTACTTCCTTCAGTCAGCTCATCCCTTACCGTTATTACCTTCTGTATCACTTGACCCTCCATGTAGAATGTAAGCTCTCACGTGCAGGGTCCTCTAATCCTTTTGTGTGGCATTGTATTGTAATTTTACTGCCTCCCTATATGTTGGAAAGAGCGGCACAAACTATTGGCGCTATATAGATCCTGTATAATAATAATAATAATAGTACTATTTTAAAGCAAATGCAGGAAGATGCACTAATAAATGCTGCCAAGCTCTATTTATCCATGCAAGGTTTGCTTGTGTGCTCCATTTGAATGAAGAAATAACATTCCATTAAATCTATTTAAAGCCACATATTTTTTAATTACAGTTTGGATAGAATTCATTTCTTTTTGGATTGGTTAGAACTCCTGTCAGGCTTAGCTGCTGTTTGTTTCCTTGTTAGGATGATGCACTCTCTCTAGTCACTCTCCCACTGCCATGGGCCTAAAAGTAAGGCAAAATTAAACATTTTGACTTGTCCTCAAGACAGGAATATAGGAAAAATCTATCCAATGGGGATACATTGCAAAAAATAATTAAATTGTCTGCTTGTAACCATTTCCTCCTTTAAAAGATGGGAAAATGGCTTAAGATATACTTTTTTTGGCAATTATCTCACAATTGCTTCACCTACAAACATACTTTTTCTGTGTATTCTAGATGCCTTTATAAAAAACCTTAATGTGTCATTGGACGGCACAGATCATAGGTACAAGGTACAGAGCCAATGAGAATGTCTCTGTACCTTGTGATTGCTGTCACCAGTCACAGTGATCACAAATGGAAACACTGGCTGGAATGAGCTGCTATCTCTCCTCTTCCTGACACACGCACACAGACAGACACACGCACACACTGTCCCTACCTGATTACAGCCAGTGCCGGCGCCTCACGTTTGCCGGCCACAGTCGGCGCCAGAGTTGCCAGGCCATAATGCAGATGTTTTCCTTTTTGCCTTGGGGGTGTCTGATTTTCAGAATGTTGCCATTTTGCAGATTTTTCTGTTCAGGCAGTTCAGGACCTTCAAAAATAAACTAGGTAGTCAGGAAATCAAATGGCCTGGAAAGGAAGGCATTGCAACTGGTATTGAGATGGTTAATAAATCTTTAGACACATTTTGATATAACCTGATTATTTTGTAAGAAATTCGGAGCTGTTTTGCATCCTCTGCACACTTCTGTGTCATCCCCAAGAGTTTGTTCTGCCCTCCTAGTTGTTGACTTGGACTACAGAGTGATTTGCTTTTATGTTGTAGAGATTTGAGAACAGGAGTTTTTGAATAATTTAGCAAAAGACACTGGATAGGGCTGACACCTCTCAGTCCACAGAATTGCTGTGTGTTGTCATCCCACAGCAGGACGTAGGGGCTGAATTCATTTGAAGTAGATAAACAGATATTTTTATGTACTTGCATTAATAGATGAAACACGTTGAAATGTGTATATATTGCAGATATGTACTGTATTTTTTTTTCTTTGCCTTGACAATCACTTTAATTCAGAAATATGTGCCTGGTCTATCTATCTGGAGTTCAGCTTTAGTCATTATTCATATATACACTGAGTGGCCAGATTATTATGACCACCTGACATTTGTAGGCAAATTAGCTATAATTAGCTATAATTTTGCGCTGAAGTTGCTAGAGGGCCAGCCCATTATAAATAGGGAAGCAGGTTGTTTACCACGACAGTAGAAGTGATTTTTTTCTGAAGATATGGGTAAACAACGCGATTTTAACAGCCTTTGAACGTGGGATGATTGTTGGCGTTCGCGCCATGGAGCGAGTATCAGCATAACAGCAGAATTCGTTAAATGTTCAAGAGGGGCTCATTGTTAAAGTGTTTAAAGACTGGACTGTCAGCCAAAAATCTGGGTCTGAACGTGCGAATTGTGGCCGTCAGCGACTAGTCAATGTTATGGCAGAACGGAGAGTGGCAAGACTGGTACAAGACAACAGAAGGGCAACAGTGCAGTGTCAGATTCCTCGCATCACGTTCAACATCTCGTGGAGTCACGAGGAGGCCCAACAAAGTCATCTTGTGGAGTAATCTCGTGGCCCAACGAAGTACTGATGGGGTGGTCATAATAATCTGGCCACTCAGTGTATATAAAGATGCATTCCAGTTTTGCTGGTTTGAACTAAATGTTCTCTTCTCTTTTTAGGATGTCAAAGCTATAGTAACACACTCAATACACAGCGCAATTCATTCAATCGGAGGCATCCAGGTTCTCTTTCCACTATTTGCACAGCTGGATAATAGGCAGCTGAATGACAGCCAAGTGGAAACCACAGTTTGGTAGGTATTCCTATAGGCAAACATGTTCTTAAATGTATAGCATGGGCATGTTCCAAGAGCTAGAACAATAAAGGTAAATAACAAAACTAACAATATTTTGTAGATGTTATGCTAAATTTTGTGGTTTAGAAGTTCTTGATGGCATTGTTTTCCAAATGCAATGAATTCCAATATGTCAGTGAGTTCATCATTTGGCGTAAGTGCTTACAGCTAAAGAAGGAGCAATGGACTGAGCAACGGTTTGAGTGTTTTCAATCAGAGAAATTCATGACAATCCTTATCTAGCAAATGTCTTACTTTCTCTTCACAAACCTGTCTCTTACAGGTCAATTTATTTAATACAAGTTATTATGGAGGAGTTCACCAATACTAAAAACTGTGAAATAATGTTTAAAGAAGATGTGGTTTACATTTGCAAAATTTTAATGTGGCTGCTCTTAAAGAGATTTCCAAGACAACTAGAAATTCCTTTCATAATTCATGATAAAATTCTGTGTCAGCATAGCTGTAACTAAAACCTGGATCTGGTATATAATTTAAAAAAAAAGTGTACTTTAAAGCTGAACTACAGGCACACAAAATTTCATTGAAATATATTTATGAATAATCACAAATGATACAAATCCACTTTGTGTGCATTTATTGAGTTTGCAATACCAAGTTATTACCTTATAATGTAGCAGTGGCATCATCACTGTGCTGTACATTGCCTGTGCAGAGAGCAGTGCTGTGGGAGGGGCCCAACAGGCTCCATCTACTACATGCTGCCTGCAGAAAACTACAGGAAACTACAAGATGTGCTTTAGTATTTTAAATATCGTAAAGCAGTAATATGGACTTCTATGTTGCAGTGAGAAAATAGCTTTTTTTAACATTGAAATGTGTCTCTAGTTTGTGCACTGACTGAATAGCTCTGGTTTCTGTGACTTCCACTATCCCAAATTAGCTGCAGAAATGCTATGTCACCTTCCTGTGACACAAGGGGTATTCTTCCAATCTACAGTTCCCAGGTTTCCTCACAAGTACCTATCAGAGAAGGGGGGAATAATTGGCATATACATGACATTGCCTGCTTAGATCCCTTTCACAGACACTATGGGCCGGTCATTTAGGAGGACCCAGCACTGTGCAGACAAGGTGACAGATTGCATGTACAGTTGTGGTCTGGTCAAGAAGCACTTTGTAGAGGGTGTAAATTCCGAAGCCATGTTTTAATTTTGCCACCTAACTAAAGGTGGATTCCAAGGCAACTATATGGTAGGTTGAGGTATGTTTGTAGCTTAAACGGCAATGGAATTAAATCTAATCATAATGGAAGAGTTCAAATCACAGCACAGTTTTAAATTTAGGTTTTGTCCACAATTACACTTTAATGTAAATTGAGTAGATTTTGCATCTTAGCACAGTTGCAATGGGCCTTGGATGGCATTAGCAGTTCCTTCTTCATATTGAGGATCCTTTTCATATATTATTTTGCAAAGCGATACAAGAAATTTCTCTTGTAGAATTATCTGGAAAAGCAGATTAAATAAAGTTTCTAAGCTGAGCATGTCCATCAGATAAATAGGCAATATCTATATAAAAGCCTCCATCGCTTCTTGCAGTCAGGGTGTTTTTCTGTAGTTCACAGACACTTTTAAAAATAAAGTACATTTTGAACCAAAATGGCCTCTGTCCTTCTGCATCCTTAAAAGCCCCTTACTGTGCTGCTGAGCTGTTTTACTTGTAGATTTAATGGAAATATTTTCAAGGCCTTCTTTAATATAATATATGAAATAGCTAAGCTCCAATATAACCAGTCTGTCGCAGGGCTCAAGGCAATAGCTTTTGAAACATTTATATAAACTTTCTGTTCATTGCTTTTCTCCCAAAGGAAACCGCTTCATTCACTTGCAGGCTGAATAATCTTTTTAGCAGCGAGAGAACCAGTTACAGCAATGCGACAGATTATTTGGGGTATAATGCTGAATTTTTTTGCAGTTGCAAATGTCCTCTTTAAAGTGCTTAGCGAACACAGGAAGTTAATCCATTCCGAAATTGCATACTTAGGAGAGGTATTGTAGAAGAGAATGACACGAGTTTTAAAAAAAGATACAGCGAGGTAGAGACAAAAAGATAATATAATGCCTTTAAGCAAAATAGTCTATGTCCAGATTACAGGCTGAGGATGGACAGTTTAGCTGGTAAAGCTTGTGCTAATGTACAGACTTGTAGAAAAAACAAGCTGTAGTTGTACTGGAAGCCTCAGACCGTCTGTTGCAGTCTGTTTCTCAAACTATAGCTCACAGTACATTAGCGTGAACAGTAAGTTGCAATATAAGAATAAATATGAGTATAATGAATGCAGCATACTTATAGAAGAACTTTGGGGGAAAATGTTATTAACCTTTCAGTGTGGCTTCCCTGCACTGCAAGGGTTAACTGCCCGTTTTTGTTCAGGTGCTTTAAAAAAAAAGTTATGCTTACCCAAACTGCTGAGTTGACTTCCTACTTCTTTGGTTCCTGCATCCTGTATCCTCCTCTGCTGCATGGAATATTCCTCAGCGTTCTCACGTCTATACACGTGTATAAAATGTAATGACACAAGGATTCTTAGACTGTTGCAGAGGAGGGGGAGAGAGGCTCTATGGACCAGTTTAAGAACAGGCCGGCAGGAATGATCAGGTGAGTATAACTTTTTTTTAGCACCTAGACACAAACAAGCAGTTAACCCTTGTGGTGTGGGGGGTAGCCCCCCTGCAAGGGTTAATACATTTTTTCCCAGAGTTCTACTTTAATGTACTTGACACTCTGGCTGCTCCATAGAACAAAATTATTTTCAGTAGTAATAATGATATGAAGCAAATAATAATGGCCAGACACTACATGCAGACAGTGAAATGTGCAGTGTTGGCTCACATTGATGGTCAGTGCTGGAATGCCCATTTTCTGTGCTGAAAACGTTACTCCGTTATTTATTGTTAATTTTTTGTTTTTTTATTGCTCTAGTGCGACCTTGCTGGCCTTCTTGGTGGAGCTGTTGAAGAGTTCCGTGGCTATGCAGGAACAGATGTTGGGAGGAAAAGGTTTTCTAGTCATCGGCTACCTCTTGGAAAAGGTAAGCTGTTGTGAAAATGAAACACAAGAAAAAAAACAATCCCTTTAACGAGGTCAAAACGAGATTGCATGGCTTTATGATTAACAAAGTTTTCTAAGGACTTCTTACGTGTGTGGCCCCCATAGGTCCATACATTTACCACAGTGGACACTACCTTTCTCACCTTATTATGAATGTAAATATTAGGACTTTGAATCTCTGCCTGCTGAAAAGACCAACGTGTTCCACCCCCTTCCTTTCCCCTCCTTATTCCTTCTACACTCTCTCTTCTTTTACGTTCTATTATGTGCTTGTCATCTCTACCATCTTTCATTCCCACTAGACGCCCAATGTCCGTCACCATATGGCCACCTTCCAGACACTCCGCAGCCTGCAATCGTGTTCCTTTTGTGCACGAGATTGATAAGCTTGGGAGGCCTGTATCTTGTGTGGCATATATTGTACTCATTATACCCGAGTAATACATTATACAACCTGACTATACCGACTACCATTTGGTAATAATTTTATGCCATATTTAGGGTACTGGAATATAAATCATTATGAAATCATCCAGCTGTAGCTGCAGTAGAAAATACAGCTTAGTAGATCTTAGCTCTGCAAGTGGACTTTTAGTTTAAGTGATATAATGAATTCTAATGTGTCAAGCATCACTGTACAAAGGGACAGTGCAGCCAATATTAAGGCTAACAGGCTGAGCAGTAGTTTACTGATCACATTAGTGTGAAGTTTTCTCTGTATAAGCAGAACCCTGCAGTGCTTAGTGATTGGACTTAGAATCTATTATGCTAGAACGTCAGGAAGATGTGTAATAGAGCTACGAGTATGGATTCTGAGTAACAGGAGATCAGCAGCTTTAACCTCTTGTTTGATTCGCACAGCATGTTGTTATGGGTATATGTGTCATGTGGCTTAAAGTGAAATTTTACCTTTCATGTTCAAAGGATGGACAGTGAAAAATGAACCCTTCAAATAGAATAGAATAGAGTTTTTCCTGTTCCACAGTTATATTTTTTGTAGTATTATTTATGTTCAACACAAAATGTTAAAATCTTACTTTTTGTTATGTGGTGTTGTCTATAGCTTTCTACAGTTAGCTGCAGAATTTGTTCCCATATTAATGTAGTGCCAACATACTGAACTGCTTTTATGCCATATAATTACAAATGTTAGCGGTCTTATTAGGTCTTACACGCTCCCTGCTGAGTTGGAGTCAAATCTTAGCTGTCTTATTGGCTTTTAGCTGAGGAGACCCCTTAAAGAAGTACTAAACCTTTAACTATTATTTCATACTTCCCTCTAGATCAAGGAAATAGCAGTGCTTTCAATATATTTTTTTTCTTAATTTTACTCCAAAACAAATGTTCTACCTTTTATTTTAAATGACCGCCGCTGTACAAGTCTGCTCGGTCTCCGCCGCTTCCCTGAATCTCCTGTCGTGGATTGCACACTGTTACATCACACACGATTACAGGGCAACCAGCTCTAAATCTAAAAGCTGGTTGGCGAGGCAGCACTGCAGTTCACAGACAAAGCTATTTGTGTCTGTCGGCTATTTGCATACACTGCGTAGTCCCGGGTGCGTGCACCCCAGGGTGGCCTCATAGAGACCATGGAAAAAAAGTAGCCACCCTATAGGCATAACTGTATACAGGAACACCTTCTACCTATTATTTTGCAGACACAAGACAAGACTTGCAGACATAGCGTTTAGGCAAGTATGTATATTATGCTTCTGCATTTTAACCCCTTCATGACTGAGGCCTTTTTTTCATTTTTTGCAGCCATGTTATATTCCACATTTTAGGCCTGAAAATGACTTAAAACCCCCACACATTATATATTTTCTGAATGCCAAGACCCTATACAATATAATGGTGGTAGTTGCAAATTTTTATGTTGCGCAATATTAGCGCAACTCCTTTATTAAACCCCAAAATTTAGTGACAAATTTAATGAAATGCCCCAAAACACAACAAAATACCCATTTTTTAAATGAAATATAAAAGATGAGGTTACAACGAGTAAAACGATACCCAACATGCCCAGTTTACAAATTGCGTGCGTCTGTGAAACGGCGAAAAACTGCAGTACCCCAAAAAGTCCACAAGACGCTTTAAAATCCCCCACAGGTCATCATTTTAGAGATACCCCAAAATACTGGCCCTAGAATTATTGCTCTCATTCTGGCGTGCGCGGCGATACCCAACATGTGTAGCGCGTTCGTCGTTTTCATACGTAGGCGCACCCGACGCATGTTTACGCGGGGGCGGGGAACTTTTAAATTTTTTTAATTATTATTTTTATTAGATTTATTTTATTTCATTTTCATTTTAAAAACTGTTTTTTTTTAACTTTACTTTGACTGCTATCACATGGGGGGGCTGCAAGCCCCCCATGTGATGGCAAATGGTGGTGACAGGTACTCTTTAAGGTGATGCTGGGGGTCCAAGAGACCCCCAGTGTCACCTTTACACTAGAAATAAGCTATTGAAGTGCAGATCGCACTTCAATAGCTTATAGCTGGGCTGCAGGAGCCCAGAACTGACACGGGGACCGGAAGTGATGCAATCTGCATCGCTCCCGGTCCCATAGACACCTAGCTCCCCGCAGACACCAAGGAAGCCGGTCCTGGGCCCGTAGGAGGGGCCCCTTCTTCGGGACACGGAAGCGATCTGGCGACAGGTAAGTCGCCAGAATCGCTTCTGTTGTAAAGCCGTCAGTCGGCTTTACAGGTTTAAACAGAGTCCCGGCGGCAAAAGTCGCCGGGAATCTGTTTAAACAGCCCCGATGCTGGCGACGTACACTGTACGTCGTCAGTCACGAAGGGGTTAATTAGCCACTTGCTGATTGGGGTGTTAAACCCCCTTCCCATCCAGGCCATTTTTCAGTATTCAGCGCTGCGGTACTTTGCTGACATTTGTTTTGGACAGATTTTTTTATTAAAAAAAGGACCACAATTTTTAAAAAAACAAAATGTTTATTACCCAAATTTTTAGTAATATATAAACACAGGGTCACGTCGGGTAAATAGACACCCAACATGTCAAGCCTTAACATTGCGGACACCTACGAAATCACAAAACGCTACCACACCCAAAATTGGCCATGGGTGACACTTTAAAAGCGTACGGCTCATCAATTTAGTGTTAATAGTGATTGATGGCCCTAAAATTATTGCTCGCACGCCAACATTCCCGGTGATACATGTGTTTAATGTGTGCAACTGCACTGACCAGGGTGACCAGAAGCACTGAGAGCAATAGGTCTTCACCCGACAGACAGCTTAAACAAAGCCACCTTACTGCACGGTCTACTGGTAGTGGACAGGCTTTTCTACTCAGCCTGTGCCTGCTCCCTAAAGAAAGAAAACTGCAAGCCCTTGAATACCTTTTTGTTTTGATGCATCTATAGTGTATTCAGTGGGTTAAAACTAAGTTTAGTTTGACTTTATTTTTTTCGAGTCAGATGACATGAATTCTGATTGTTTGCAACAGATTACTGCACTCTTTAGGATTTGGTAAAACTGTTTGACTTCAAATTCCATTTAACACATTGCAAACGTCGTTAGCTTAGCACAAGATCGTTTCTCCACTGTTTGGGCCTGTTGTAATTAGTAACTTTTGGCACAGAGATTTCTGAGCACAACTAACAAAGGTTTTCTAGGTTTATTGTATGAAGTGGCACAGTTTATATAATGTTACTCTTGCTGTAGCTGTAGGTTCCTAAAATGATTCTGTAGCCAATCGTAGGTCATCAGTTTGCAAATCTATTCGACATGTGCCATAAGGTTGGCTGCCAATTGCCATATAATGTTTGCTGAGCCTTTTTCAATGTTATAGTAGCACTATTCATGCATTGATCATTTCACGGCCATGTTGTAGTTATCCACAGCAATCCAAGCAGCTTTTCAGTCTGAAGTCCCTGAGAATTTAGAAGCTGTGTGAATTTCTGTCTGATCAACAGGTATTTTTCTTTAAAGAGGCAACACCTGGAAAAAAGTGCATGTATTGTATAGATGTACTGCATATGATTTTTTTTTGTCTTGACATACACTTTAATTTCTACATAAAAACCAGGAGCTGTGTGAAATTCTATCCCTTATCTGCAACGAGCCGTGTGGAGATAGCATGGATGTTGCAAGTGCTGCTGCTGTGAATCAGAGTAGAACTAATTAGGAGTCTATGGCAGCACTTTTCCTTACCAAACAGTGCATCTGTCTCATTTTATATAACTATTCATACATGAAAAGCCATCATCTCCCAGTTCTCATTTAAGAACTAAGGGCTGTGAATCTTTGAACATTTCTCCTTCATGAGCATAAAGAAAGAGATAAACTGTAACCTGGAAATCCATTTTAACAAATTGTTTAATAGAGATCTTCATCAAACATTTTCTAATTCTAACAGTATTTATCTTTATGTGGATTAGTTGAACTTGCCAAGCCTACGTAAATAAATTACTGATATTCTCAACTCACTTTTTGTGCAAGAGGAAGATCTGTCAACTACAAAAGGGCAATCAAGCTTTTATGCCAGCTTCTTGGCACATGTTCTTTAATATGGAGGAAGATAAACACTGTATGTAGTAAGCATGTGTTGTAATTGCATTCTAGAGTGTTGATTATTTGCCATCTTGTTGCAGTCCTCCAGGGTTCACATAACTAGAGCGGTTTTGGAGCAGTTTCTATCATTTGCAAAATATCTGGATGGTCTGTCTCATGGGGCACCTTTACTGAAGCAGCTTTGTGATCATATCCTTTTCAACCCCGCCATCTGGATACACACGCCAGCTAAGGTAACATGAAGGGCTAATGTTTGATATATACATATATAGCATGTATTCGAAATGACATCTGGACACATTTCAGTCCTAGACTAGTCAACACTAGTCCAAGGAAATGCTGTTTTTGCACGGTAGTTAATCTTTTTTAGATCTTCATTTCTGGCCTTGGTAATGAATTTGAAGGAGATAGCCAAGCTAAGGTACAAATAAATATGTATTAGAAACACCCCAAAGAATATATGATGTGCTTGAGGTGCTAATACCCCAGAAAAGTTTTAATGATCCCAATGAAAGTATGACCATCACAAACATGGATGGACCCAAATAATTTGTTCATTTTCTTTAATTTTGTATCTCCCGATCTGGCTTATGTTCCATGTTAGATTTTATTCACTAATTCTGTGGAAGACCTGTGATTAAGGCTTTTTAGTATAGTTACTGTTGGAGCCTTGCAATACATTTTTGGATTGTGCAACTTGATCTAATATTGAGTGTCAGTGTAATCTCAGGAGAGAATAAGAAATGCATTGGAGTCTTGGCGGACCCAAAAGTTGCAGATTTGTACTTAAAACACAGCTTGCAAGAGTTTTGCTCCTCCTCATATGCTATAGGCCGGTCTCTGTGCCAGTCACACAATAGACCTGAAATTTTGCAACTCCCCATTTCCAATCCATGCTTGCTATGTTGTATGTTTGGTGTAATACAGTCTCTGGTTTTTATTGTTTCTGCTGAAAAATACACACATCTGCTTCCCTTAAAGTGTATTTTCACTTTCGTAGCCATATTGGGATTATACCTATTTTTATATTTGTTACATGTTCCTATTAGCATAGCGTAAGCTAAAACAAAAGGGTTAAAATTTCGTCTACCTTTTCTTTTAAATGTTAGGAGGGGCTGTGAGGGTTGAGGGGTTTGAGGTGGCTTGCCCCCATTGTATTTTAATGAAGCTTATCAGAGAAACACAATCCTCAAATTTCAGTACTCAGGCTTTCCATTAGGACAGATCTCTGTGAAGGGGCTGAGAAAAACTTGGAATCAGCCATCTTGCCTGCTTTAACAAAACATCTGAAGGGTAAGAATTTTTTTCAGAGTTGAGTTATTTTTCAGTATGCTGTAAATAGGAGCACATAAACATATAAAGGGGTTTTCTCAAATTTGACTGCAAAAGTGGAAATACACTTTAGCTACTTGTTACTTTTCTTGTTTAGCTATTTATAACTGATTTGTTTCTGCCTGTTTCAGGTGCAGCTCTCGCTCTACACCTATCTGTCAGCTGAGTTTATTGGCACTGCCACAATTTATACCACCATCCGAAGGGTGGGAACAGTATTACAGCTAATGCACACACTGAAATATTACTACTGGGTTGTAAACCCTGCCGACAGTAGCGGCATCAATCCAAAAGGGCTCGGTAGGTAGCATGTACCAAAAAAAAAAAGTTTCTGTAATTATTTTATTTGAACGTTGAATAGTCTTGAATTACCAAACTTGTTAGCAGATAATATTTTGATCTCACATATGCAAATTGGTGGAACGAGCGGGAAGGTGTGGTTCTAAGCCACCAATCAGATTATGGTTTTTCCTCTAAATCTTTAGTATTCAAAAGAAATGGTTCTTTCCAGATACTTGGAAACAAGTTTATTGTGTCAGAGACGCTTAGCATTTTTTAAAGTCCTACTAACTGGAATGGGTTCATATAGTTCAACGCACCTATAATGATTTTTCTTCACATTGTAATGTGGTGCAATAAAAAGTGAAAAATTAAAACAAGCTTCTTATTGGTTGACCAAGGCTTCAGTTGTTTGCTCAGAATTTTTTCAGAATCTGTTTCTTTTGTATATTTCCTAGCTTTGTATAAGTTATTCGCTACTCAGGGTTGGGCTAAATAGGAGGTTTCCAGGTAGCAAACTCTTTGTTTCATACAAAACAAACTCTTCCATTCCATGACGTGTATGTTGGTAGGTAGGTCAATTAATTAACATAAATATAATCTATGCAAGTGAGCTCCCTTTTGTAATGAATTTTTGCTGCCCTAAATATGTATTTTGTAACCAGTTTTTTGGGTTTGAACATCATGTAACAGTACCTTCCCATGCCTCACATGATCACCTTCTCCTTTCCTTCAAGCAGTAAGTAAGTTGGGTGTATGGTCAGGAGTGCAGAGCGTGCCAGGGTTAATTGTGGAATATGTAACTCTAGGCTATGAATTGCTTACTTATAACAACTTGTTTGTATGCCATGCAAGAGAGGTCGTACCATTTTTAGCATGCAAATCCAAATGCTCCTATCACGTATCTGTGCGGAGACTGGATGTAGGAGGAGGCTTCCCTTGCAGCTCGTGTCCTAGGGACTCTGGTATTGGGGACAGAGTCCTTATAGAGCGGTTCCACCGTGCAGGCCACTCCTTGGTTTTGCGGCAGGGTCTTGTAAATCTTAATATCCGAGGTCAACAGGCCGAGGTCACACCGAGCAGGCAGAGCAAGTACAAAAGGAGAAGGCGTAGGCAGTCCACTGAAACAATCCGAGGTCAAGGGTATAGGCAAACAAGAATGGTCAAACGTTCCGAGGTCAAAGGCAGGCTGCAGGCAAACAAGGTCAAAGTCAATCCGGGTCGATAATCAAGGGTACTGGAAACAAGGATCAGGAGACGTCAGGGCGGTTGAAGAGACAATCAAGCAATGAGTAGGTGTGGAGTCTGGGTTTAAATAGTGAAGGAAATGATTTGGAGAGCGTCACTTTCTGTGAGTCTTTTGGAGAGTGTCACTTCCTGTGAGCCTTTTGGAGAGCGTTCTTCTGCGGACAGTCCTTGGCGCGCGCATGCGCACAGGCCCATTGCGGGAACCCCGGCTTGGCGCATGCGCAGAAGCAGCAGGTCTCTGACAGCTCCTCGACTTCTTGGATCCTTTTTTATTTTAACTAATATATGAGGCAAAGGGGTGGAGGGCTAGATTTTAACAAAGGAGTAATGTACTGAGGACAGAACTTTATACCAACTAATAAACAGTCATGGTATACTGTTTTGTCGACTCAGGTTTTGTTAAAAGTGAATGCACCTAGGTTGCTATGGTTAATTGTGCTTTCAGAGTAATCGTTGTACTGTCTTTATAAAAAGGTGAAATATGTGAATATTATGAAGAGCTGCTATTTTGGTAGCTGCACTGTCAGTGTGATATGAATGCATATTAGATTCTAATACATTGTATTGCATTACTTGTCTTTCTTTTTTTCTAAGAAACAGACTAGAACATGTTTGCTAATACTCTGGGGGGATACTAGTTCACTTTTCACACTGTAATAATGAAAAATGTGTTATTTTCCTCCTACAGACGCAGAAAAATGACTTTAGTTTCAGAAAAGTACAAAGTGAAGAGTTTTTTTAGTTTAGAGCGTGGGCTGTTTTATCTTTTATTTTTAAAGCAGTTGTTGTCTTCAGAAAAGCAGAACTTATGTAACATTGGAAGGTTTCTGTCAGTTTATCACAAGTTAGAGACTTCTACTTTGTTGCCTGAAAATGATGATAAGTGTGGGCTGCCTAAATGTCAGTGGTAGCCTTTCTCCGAATGACCTTTTCTAATGCCAATGTGATCTTTGATTACACTTCTCTAGCTTAGAAATACAGGGAAGTTTGCAGAAGGTTATGTAAAAACCTTAGAAGCATGTCACAATATTGGTAGGTGAGGTAGGATCAATAATGAGAATATATATATATATATAAAGAGAGAGGAACAGAATCAATGTTAAATGTTTAACGTTGTTAAATGAGAGGTAGTTGTTTTTGTTCTTGTTTATTAAGGATATAGGAAATAAATATAATGTTAATTGCATTAAATGGGCAGTAGTATAAATTACATGGGGGATATTCTTTATTGTAGTGGTCTGTTTGGTCAGTCCTTCAAGAAATATTCCTTGCATCCTGTTAGATATTATCAAGCTGTACAAATTTCTCATTAAGCATAAATGTTCATAGACTATTTTATAAAGGAAGATTAAACACATTTTGCTTCCCCCAGTTTGCCAAAAATGTTTATTTTTATTTTTTTCCTGTGCAAATAAAACTTAACAGATTAAATTGTGATATTGAGGTACTGTGTAAAAAGAGAAAAGTGGTCTCATTTAAAAAAAAATAAAATAAAAACCTTTGATTTAGATACCACTGAATTAGTTCATTTTCCCAACTTCCCCTCATAAGTAATGACTTCACAATAGATTTAGGAAGGTTAGATATCACCATTTTGTTTGCTCCCCCCCGTCCTTTTCTGAGCCAGTACATATGTTTAACGGGACCAACAGCGACAGAAACCGGACATTATTTACTTGCTCTCTGTTCAGGTCTGCAATTATATCGCCTGGTAGAGGGAACTCTTTCAGCATCAACTTCCTTTGTGGCCCTGAGATGTTATGCAACTGAATGCCAAGAGCCGCAAGGGATACCAATGCTGGAAGAATGCAAAACGACAAAATGTGTTGTACTCATTCGTTAAAGGAAGTTATATGATTAGTATTTTATTTATGGGAGTCCATATCATTTTCATGGTGGAACAGTCATCTTGTTCAGCCCACTAGCCACCAATCACTGCAGGATCGTGACACATTTTATATGGTGCACTTTCATTAGCCCATAGAAATCTGCTCCAGACAGGAAAATGACAGCTGTCTGGAGCAGCTAAGCTAAGCAGCAATATATTAACTTTTTGTTCCTAGGTTTAGATACATTTTTAAATGGATATTTTAAATGCAATTTAAGATACTTTATTAGGATTCTTTGTGTGACTGATCATTTTGTAGATCCAATTCAGTACCACTGACCTCAAGTATCAGAGATATGAATTATAGTACCCCAAAGCCATCACAACCTATCATATTTTATTATACTATGGTCAGTTAGGCAGAGAGGAGATTTCTAATAGTCTGGTTTGGAGTGTCTGTGCTTTGTACCTCATACGTGATCTTTACATTGCTTTACTGATACTTCTCACACAGTGAGGTTCTTTGATGTTACCAGGAAGAATGAGGGCCACACCAATGTATTACCTATCTCATTCCATGGCTCAGTCTGCCAGTTGGCCAGTCCTTTATTGATGAGTTGCTCTAGATGTGAAAACGACTTGTATGCGGGAACTGGAATCTTGCTTCTGCAGTTGATTTTCGTAGAGAACATTAGTTATTTCTGACATATTTCTTACAAGTCTGGCGAGTTTTGAGATTTCCTTCTTTAATATTTTGCTGAGCTTGTAGCTACTCCTTCAAGCTAATTTGTGTTAGATGTAGATATAAGAACGTTATGTCTCACTAAACGTAACTGAGCATACATTTGATCTGTGGGAAGAAGTCAGGTCATTGTAATTGTTGATGTATGCCATTTGCTATAAGACCGCATACTTAGTGTGCCCACAAACATCTCGGGCTGGTGGGCCATACAGGTGCAATCTAAACACTCACCGGAAACTACTCTTAATGGAAATGTTCAGCATTGCTGTCAGGTTTTTGCTGCTCTCTGTTTCTTTTGGGTTGTTTTCTCCTCACTTCATGTCTGGGTGAGCAATGAACCTGTAACAGAAAGTTAGTTGCTTTTCCCCAAAAGGAACACACACAAGAGTAATAATATGATGTTGGATTCCATCTGTTGTATTGTTTCCTGTTGTAAAGATCTCCCATCTCTAATGACCACTGTTGCTGGGATAGAAAGTGATTAAAAATTTCCGCATGGAGGACAGAGGCAGCAAAACAAAATTCCAAAATTAAATAAAAGCTTAGTTTTTATATAGTTTCTCTTTGCCATGTCCTTTTGGTGTCACCTACTTTTTCTAAAAGGGCATGTGCATATAAATAATGCTACATACAAGCCTATAAGCTTCCGTACTTACACCTCCTTAATGTATATGTAAACCCTAAAAACTAAAATGGGATATGTGCAATATGTTAAAGTAACTTCAAAGGTAATTATCAAAATATTTCTGCCTCCTTTCATCAAATACTTATTCTACCATGAAGGTCATTGTTGAAGCATTTCCATTTATAGGGTAACAGTTCTTGGTTCCTGTCTTCCAACTGTTCTGCATTGTCACCCTGGAAATTCCTATACTCTTCAGCTCCATTTAGTGACCAGAATGCCATGTGAACAGCATTCAGCCAGCGTATGGCGGGGCAGATGATTTATAAATCATGCCCTTTGTGTGTGTGTTGGTGACTGGGGCACTGGTCCATAATCTTCCCCACTCAGAGTTAGACCTAGTTTTTGGAAAGATTTGTCTAGATCAGCCTTTCTTAACTTTTGTACCCTAGAAGAACCCATGAAATAATTTACAGGTTTTGGCAAACTCATACTAAAAATTATTGGACCTACAACTTATGGTGCATTAGCCTGATCAGTAAGTTCTAGAAAATGTAAATACCAGAATAAGGAATGTGGTG